AGAGGTGAAATTTCTGAAGGGGGGAAGAAAAAAGGTAAAATAGCATTTTTAATTAGAAGATCTACAGTAGACTGAAGAATACAGTATTATTTTTTCCCCTGTGTAGACTGCTGTTAAATTCAAAGGTTCTCTCACCTCTTTGTTTTCCCAGGAATGTTAATTTAGTCACTCAAAGCTATGGCTTCTTGGAGTAGCCTTTAAGATGAATATTCTTGATCTTAGATAAATTATTCTCATAAAGATGCATTTTCCTCAAGTTCCTTTTAATCATGTTGATAGTTCTGATACTGTAATATTCTGACCTCAGAGATACTTTGCTCTTCGTTAATTTTGATGGCCACCATACAGGTTTGACACAAAATTTTGGGTTTATGATAACTGACTCTGATTAAGCCTAACCCCAAAAGCAGCATCTCTGAGACACTTTTACAGATTACCCCTCCACAGTGTGTTCTCTCTACAGTATTTAGTTTTCAGTGTTATGTTACTGTATGAGAGTCCTGCACAAGTGGAGAGAAATGGGTAAGTTGGAAAGTAACACTGTATAAAAAAAACCCCTCCGAGTCTGCAAAACAAGAAAACAAACACATGTGCACAAATACCCTCACGGAAAATATCCTCTTCCCAAATAAACCTGTCCTGTAACACTTGGATTTTTGATGAAAGCTGAGATACAAATGTGTCCTTTTCATACTGGATTTTTTTTTTTTTTCCCAAATCTTTTGGGTTATAAGGTAAACTTTAATGCTGATTTTTTTTTTTTTTTTTTTTTTCCTCTTTGCTCCGTAATTTACATTTTAGAAACAGGTCAAGGAACACACACAGTTTGCATTGAGACTTTGTTTTTCTCTGGCATGTATTCTGGCTTCTAAGAGAAATATTGTTACTGAACTGTAGCTGTCAGTTGAGCCAATGCACACATACACTCCCTTTCCACATTGTTTCTCATGACTCTCAAAATAAAGTTCAAAAGCTCTCTAGTTGCTTAAAAAAATCCTACTTGATATAAAAGCAGTTGGTGCTTACCATTTCTTTATTACTTGCATAAAGTAAGTTTGTTACACTAAGAAGGTTCCAAATATACTTTATGTGAAATTGAAATAAGCCAAGCATGATTTTATATATGAAAACTTCTCACTCAGCAAACTTGACATGATAAACCAACAGACGCTCTCCTGTGCTTTCAAGTATGTTTTGATATATACCTCCTACAGTTTTTTAAACATGAAAAATTGCTATATATGAAGTTCTACTGACTTGGAAAATTAAAATCAAGGTCTATCCTTTAAGCTAACTCTGACGTATTCCCTAAAGAAGGAAGTTTTATGCATAAAACTTGCTGCAAATCCTAGCATTCCTGTGCATGAGCAGCAGAGCTGTGAGATTATATTCACTCGGAGAAATATCCAATTCTTTGCAGGGTAGACATCCATTATTAGGATGTCTTGACACTTAGGCACATTTCCATTGCAAACCACACTACACAGCCTTTTCCTGATATATGGAACTTTATAATAAACATTAAGTAAAAGAAAAGTCTTTACCTTTTAATCCCGTGCTGGTGGCTTTCTCTTTTATGTTTTACAGAGGAACTCCTGAGGGTAGGCTTCAGTATAACCTGAAAAACATTGTTTTGAATATTTGCCTATGTAATGTGTCTTGAGTGGTATTCCATTAAGTATTTTCTGCATGCCTTTTGCTTCTAGTTCTTATATCGTTGTCCAAGGGCTCATCTTCAGGAGCAGTGGTGTGAGAGAGAAGCTGACTTTTGCAACTGCAGTAGACAGGCAAATTGATTACTTTCTACTTGGGGAATCTGGTTCTGCCTGTTTGAAACCCAGCCTTGCTGAGAGGCGGATCACTGCTGGAGCTGCCCAGTAGCAGAAAGTGTTTAGGAGCAGCTCCCCAGTTAGAGGCCTCATGAGCTGCAAATGAAGCACTGCCTACCTATGAAGCACAAGTGTAAGTGCAGGGATTGCTTTCTTCTACACTAAAGCACTAAGGGTAAAGGAAGAAAGGGTAGGTCGTGGGTCTATTAATGCTTTTACTTAAAAAAACCCCCAAAAAAACCCCAACAAACCAAACCCCCCAAAAACCCCCGCCCCAAACAAAACAAAAAAACCCCCAGCAAAATAATACCCTTTATCACAGTATCTTAAAACTATTTTAACTCCATTTATAAGTTTGACCTAAAGGCTCAAGTGGGCAGGGTTGTACATCAGGAAATGTATGACCTGTGCTATGCTGCTTCAGCTCTTGGGGAGTGTAAGGTGGAGACAGATATTTGGATAGACTGTTTTTCCAGATACAGCACCTCAGCTGTATTTTTTTTTTTCCTAATACAGTCAGTATTGCAACAGGAGTGCTGTGGAGAAAATAGAATCTAATTGTCCAAAAAGCAAATCTTATGCCTTTTAAGATATTAGAGGTTAAAAATCAGCAGCTACTGCAAGTTATAGGACGTTAGTGTCACACTCAGAATGAGCTATGTGGCTTACCAACATTTCTTTCTGCTTCAGCTGTGCTTTGCAGAATGTGCAGTCCAATCACATAATAAATATTGCAGTTATTTCATCTTGAGGTGAGAAAGGAATAGGCTGTGGCAACAAAGTCTGTGTTTGGAAATATTTTCTTCAATTAGATCTAGATCGGAATTGACAGCACTGCTGAGGAATGTTCTTTGAGACTAGGAGGCAGTGGAATACGATTTTCATACTGTGACAAAGATAGATGAAATTAAAAATGAAAAGAGATAATTGTTTCCAATCTTGTAATGACTTTCTGTAGTTTTCTTGAATTTCATTTCACTTTTTTGCTGGTTTACCTTTGGTCCTGTTTCATAGCCAAATACTGAGAGGACATTACTTGTCCTAGCTGCTTGGTGAGAAGGAATAGTGCCAGAGTATCATAAGTATATTGAAAATATCGTGGCTTCTGTATATGCATTGAACAATAGTTAGGGAATCTCTGCACTCAGTCATACAAAGTACTGCAGAATTACTCTTTTTGTTGGGAAATGGGAATGGATTATCAAAGGAGAGTAGGGGTGGGGAAAGCCTTGTGCTCTTTCTAGCTCTGCAGGCAAGTCAGCAAAGTGGATCACCATCAGGATGTAGGGGTTTTGTCCTCAACCTTTTGGACCACAAATAGTTCTTAAGACTGATGAAGAATGATAGACAGTGGATGTTTAAGAAGCTGTCTTTCCATGGTCTGCTTTGTAAACTTTACTTGAAAGGAGAGCTTAGACAATGAATGTGTGTGAGATTAATGGTGACAAGGAATGGTTTTTTGAGCTGTAGATGCTTTTTCTTTTAATGTCTCCTTGAGGTTAAAAACTCTCTTGGGAGTAAAATAATTAAGAACTGAGGCTGCAATACTGTGATTCTGGGTATTGGTATAGGTCATGGATTTATTAATGCATTTACCTGAATCCTTCTTGGATTTTAAGCAGTTTAAATCCATTTTAATCAAGAAATTGAGGTCTTGAGGGTAGTCAAGTTATGGAATGGATGCAGCCACTGTTACCATAAGTTGGCAAATGCCAAAACTCTCTAAAACTCGTTTTGGATTTTAAAAAGCAAGCATCCTTTATTCACAGCACTGAGCATGGGAGGTTCACACCTCAAAGCATGTGTGCCAATTGCAAAGCAGCCCTTGGTTATAGCATCAGGTTAATAAATATGCATTACATTTCCCAGAATCATTATGCATATTCAAACGATTTCCTGTAGTTTATTATCACATTTGCATACCGATTACTCATGTGTTCTCTGTAGGTAGGGTGGTCGTGAGGGGTCTCCAGTGATCTTTTGGCAGTGAACATTCTTTCCCACATTGTCCTTCAGTGCACTAAGTCATAAATCACCTTCAGATAATATTGTTGTCTTGGAAGTTTCCCAGGTCCTTAAGGAAAATGAAGATGTTAGTAATTATAAATCTTCTTTCCCAAATCCTTGAGGAGGATAAGGATGTTCCTGTTGGTGTCCATAACTCTTCCCTCTCTACTATTCACATAGATAGAGTGACACCTGCAAAAGCCTTGCAGTAATTAGTTATTTGGTTGTTCTTTGCTTATCATTTTTAACAACACCTGCTGAAGGGAAAACTGTCTGCTTCACTAATAGTCATTAGATCCTGGAATTTGAACAATGTATGCTTTAAGATTTAAGGTCTATATGTGTGTGTGTGTGTGTGTGTATGTATATATATATATATATATATATAATGTGTGTGTGTATCTCTATAAACTTTAATACTGACTTTGGTTACATTATGGAGTATATGGAAGACAAATCTCATCAAGAACAATAGTCCCCCCAAAAATTAAGATGTTTATTTTCTGTAGTCTTCTTTGCTACCATCTCTCTAAGAAATAAGACAATGATGCTACTTGATTTTACACAATGTTTATTTTGTAAGCTATGTGTTTCATGTACCTTTTTTTTCCCCCCCCCTGCCCTCTATTTAATAATAAAGTATGTTTTTTAGAGCTATTCATGCAAGTTCCTCCCTACAAGCTTTGTTTTTTACTTATGAAGAACAGGTTCAAATCATTACAGATCAAGTTGATTGGTGTCAGGGAGAAATCTGGATAGTAGGCAGACCTGAGATGATCATAAAACAGTATTGTGTGGGGAAATGCACACAGTTTGGGAAGTTGTGAAGTTCTGGACTTTGATTTACAGACTCCCAACAGATTGTGCTGTGTAGCTTTAGATGTAGAGCAGTACAGTCTTTTACATCCACCTTCTTAGCTGTAAAATATAATTGCCTTGTCTGTGGGTGCTTAGTAATTATTTAATATTAGTATCTAATGAGTATAATGCATGGACTAACGAGTTCATTAAGGAGAAAGAATTAATGCTGAAACCAGGCATTTTCTCTTTACTTTCTCCTTCTTCCCCTTCTTCTTCCTACTTTTGTCAAAATCTTAGCTTTTGGAGATGTGAGAATCTATCTGCTGTCAGGGTGCTAAATGTTTCTTTACATCTTTTCCAAAGGCTGGCAAATAAGCAGGACAGAGAAGGAGCTCTGTCAGAAGCAGATGTAATCGAATCCTTATCTCTGGAAAAGCTTGTCAATGAACACAAGTGTCTGTGTCAAATTGTAAGTATATTTTCAGATGCTTCATTTTCTAATATATATGTAATGCTTGGAATAAGGTGGGGGGTTGTGCCACATAGTGTAAAACTGAAACAAGAACCCTCCAATCCCAGCAAAGATCTAGTACATGTGTCTGTTTTACAAGCAATTCTGCTGTTCACCTTGACATTCAGTTGAAGAAATCTTTATAACAAGGTTTTTGAAGTGTACCTGCTGGTCCATTCTGAAAGCATGTAAGAAAAAATAATTACTGATGTGATTTCAAACTTGTTTGGTTAGATGGTAAGTTTTGTATTCCACCTTTTTAAAAAAAGAAGCAGGAAATGGAATTTGCCTATGTTGACATTCAGGAAGGACCACTGCTTATATGTGATGTTTATCTCACTTCTGTTCCTAGCTAAAACCATCATTTAGTGTGAGTTGCCATCTGGCAAACAGTGAGAACTTAATCTAATAATCTAATTCCTAGTGCTTTTAATTCCCAGCACAGTAGTCATCAAAGAACACTATTAGAACTAGTTAATATCCGTCCTAAAATAACTACATTTCAGATATAGTAGTCACAGTCATGTTTAAAACAAACAAACAAACAAGAAAGACAAGTAAGAGGGCGGGGGGTGGTAGGAAGGAGCAGTGTATTTGATATTGGTCAATATTTCAGATAATTTTTCCAAATCAGTAGTCCCCAAAGTTTTCTTTAAACCTTTGTTATAATCAACCAGTTTCTTAGTGAACTATTTGTGGTCTTTACTCTTATAATCTTTTTGTAATTTCAATAAGAAATATTTTAAAAGATACTGACAGTTATACTGTTCTTAAAATTAAAGGCAATTTTGCAAAACCACTCCATCTGCTATATTTGAGTTTTAAAATTCTAAATAGACTTTTAATTCCCTAAGAAGAGTGGCAAAATTCATAGAGTAGTAGATATTGCTGTTGTTTTCTTTACAAAGTTAGGTTATAGCAGGGCATAGCTACGTTCATTATATCAGGGCTCTTTGATGGCTTTGCAGTCAGTGGATTTTCTACTATGCATGTAGCCATCATAAAAATAAAACTTGCAAGTTCACAGTTTTGTTTTGTTGTTGGTTTTTTTTTTTTTCTGAGGGACTTCTGTGGAAAAAATATTTTCTTGCAAAGCATTGTCAATATGAAAGACCTGAAACATTCCAGTGTATTTTTCCAATACTTTAGTATTACATAATTTATGACATGTTCCAGTAAAATGCTGGTTTTGTTCTCTATTTATATCTTGGGTGTAATCAACAAAGAAACTAGATCACATACTCTTAAGTCATTTTAGCTGAAAGCAGCTGAGTCATATACTCAAATGGGCAGCTGCTTTACTAGGCCAGTAAAGGTAAACATGGTCCCAATGTATTTCAGCATGATGCCTCATGGGGTGAATTTAAAAAGGGGCGTTATGAAACAAGATTTAAATAAAAATTAGGCAAGGACCAAACTTTTGTTCTTATTCTTTTAATTAGTTTTCTTCCAGATCTTTAAATTTCACTGCAAAATATTAAAGCAAATTGAAGGAGTTCTTTGTCTCACTGTCACACAATCTCAGTGAGAATAACCTCCATAATTTGCTTTTTTTAACGTTTGCACATTCTGTATTTCTAAATCTCTATATTTTATAACTGAACTACAGTAACAATAAGTTTTGTGCAAACCTAGAAGAAAATTCCCCCAGTGCTGTCTCTTATTTTATCTTAGTTTTCTCAGAGAAAAGGTATTGCTGCCTGTACATCTTCTCCTTGATTAGGTTCTGCTAGTGAATATTGTAGTGTTCCATAGTGAACAACACTCATATTTGAACCTTAATTTAGACAAAGTAAGAATGTATTAAAATGCAAACTAGGTTTGGCACTCTGCAGGGACATTAACAGGTCAGAATTTATTTTTTCTGTTGTAAATAGAACATACCATATCTGACTATGGTGCTTGTCAAATGAAGAGATAGCACAGAGAATTTTTAGATTTTGGTGTTGGTGAGTTATGGGTTTGTTTGGGGTTTTTTTTTTAATCTTTCTTCATTCATGAACACAAATCCTGAACTCAATTAATGTGAAATATTACTTCTTCGTGTCAAATACATAGCTGGATCTATTCAATTGCTATGTCTATGATAGTTTTAGAGACCCATACAATGCTCCAAAACTTTCTGGAAAATAGTTCTGAAGAGATCTGGAGAGGTCATCTAGTCCTTTTCCCATGTTCTAGGCTAGAATCAAGACATATCTTTTTTGTTCCAATTAAAGCCAATTATACTTGTCCTCCTGGCAATGAACATGAAGAGCAAATTAATAATTTCCTATTTGCAGTTACACCTTATGTTTTTGAAGGCTATTACCATATCTTCGTGAAGCTTTTTCATCTCAAGAGAAGAACCACTCCTGTTCCTTCAATGTTTTCTTACTAGATGCGTGTTCATAACCAATTTTCTCTGATTTTTACCTCCTGTGCTCCTCTTAATTCCTTCCAGCCTATCCACTATTCCTTCCAGCCTATCCACTTCCTTGAAATGTTGCATCTAGACTAGATAAAGTATTCCAAACTCATTTAACAACAGGGTTTGCACTCATCTTCCCATTGATTTGCCTAGATCATGTTTTTCTTGCTTGCTGACATGAATATCATGACAGAAGTTATAGTCAAATCAAGCTGCATGATATTTTTGCTTCACCCCATCCACAATACCTGTTCTGATCTAAAATAACTGAATTGGTTTGACAGTTTTTCTGATGAATTCATGCTGGATTTTATTTATCCTTTAGGTGTTTATGAATGTCTAACATTTCTTTTGTGAACTGAAGCTAACTTGATTCTCTTGCATCTAATTTTTTTCCATTTTACTAGATAAATATAACACGGGCTATTACAAAGCAGCAGCAAAACAGAACATACATATTTGAAGTTGATAAATTATATTTCTATATAGATGCAGAGATACAGATGTGTATAGAAACGTGTAAATACACATATATACATATAGCAGGTGTGTTTGTAAGGGTGTGTGTATGTAACGGGTGTATATATATATATATGTCTATTTAGAGATAAATGTGCAAACATTTTTCTGTGCAGTATTTTAGTATTTTTGGAAAAAGACTGGAAATGGAATTTGGTAGAACTAATGTGATTTGTATCTTGGCAAAAAACTTACCTAAGTTTATAGAATACCTATATGCAAATTTATTTCCCATACTTCTCAGTGTTTTGCAAGCTTCAGAGGAAACAGTAGTTGTTGGGTTGATTTCTTGTTTTCAGTCAAGGAATGTGATCTGAACTGCAAATAATTTCCCCCTGTTTCTCCTTATATTTACAGGAACCTTGCTCAGCTGTCATGGGCTGTGGGAAAAAAATTGACAAGTCAATAAAAAAGGGTTTATATTGGCTTCTACATATCATAGCAAAAGATTTTGATGCCTTAAATGAGCGCATCCAAAGAGACACTACAGAACAAAAAGCGTATGAAGAACAAAAGAAACGAGAACGAGCTGAGCGAGTGAGAAAGATACGAGAAGAAAGGTATTCTCTCTGTAATTTCTCCTACATCCCCTTCCTCCCTTTCTCTGAGACACCTGATTCATTCCTATATATAAAGCTTATGGGAAGCAAGCTATCTAGAATTTAAAGCTTACAAGCCAAGAGCCTCTATATTAAAAGCTTTTTTTTTGAGACCTACAGGTTTTTGCCTGGTTCATCCCCTTTATTTTATTTGCTTGATGCTGGAAATGTGCCATGAATGAGAATTGCCAAGTAGTTGTGGAATAAATTTGTCCTTGCTAACATAATTTCACAGGAGGTTAACCTAAAAAAATAAACCCTGTCACTTAATCTTAAGTTACCTTCAAGTGTGTTCTAAAATAAACTTTTATTAAGTTAGACTTTGTAACCCATACCTGAATATCAAAGACAAGATGTGGAACTTTATTGAACACTATACTTAATAAACTTCAGGTGAGGCATGGAGGGATTTAGGATGATGGAAGGAGGGGAAGCAGGACAAGTGATTTATTACTTCCCTCCAAGACCTTTGTGGTTATCAGCAGCCCACTATGGTTCCTATTAGAGACTGATGTGAATCATTTTATTGGGGCATTCTTACAAAATTCACTGACCACACCTATCTCCCTGTCTGCCCTATTTACATAGAGATTTGCAAGTCTCAGTTAGTGTGAAAAGTAACTGTGAAGCTATTGTAAAGTATCTTGGCTTGTACTTTACTATTGTAAAGTATCTTGGCTGATTTGGTTTACTTCAGCAAGTAAATTACCTAAGCACACTTTAAACACCTGGAATTTGACACAGTCTTCATACACATTTCACCAATTTACAAAAAAAATTTCGTAAGCTGTTAGTCTGTCAGATGTCTCTGCATAGACAAGACACTCTGACCACGTTGGATTGTGTTGGGTTTATGCCACGTTGAGAGGTGTAGCAAGAAGGACTGACTTTGAAACACGTCACAAAGAAATTGTCTGATGGTACAGGAATTTTCCATATAATATGTTCCAGCTCAGTGTTCTTGAATACATTGGTTCATTGTAAGAATTGGTTGGGTCTAAGTTGGATTAAAGACTTAAAAGTTTTGCTAAACTCCTTGTGCCTTAGTGCAAAGCTAACTAGTAACTTCTGGTTTTACCTGTAGCTGGGGGCTTGTCTCAGATATAAGAGATGGCATTAACTCTCACTTTGCTGTTTGTTTCAAATCAGTTTCTTACTGTAAGAAACAGGATATTCTTGATTCAAGTGTAATTCTGTTTCATTTTGTGTTTTCCTATTTCCCCAGACTGCTTTTTGTTCTGATCTGCTTCCCTGAATGTTCTCTCAAAGTACTTTTCCTCCACAATATGTTAGTAGGAATCATCCTGTTCCAAATGGAACACCAGTGAGAAGTAGCACCAATGAATTTTAACACAGTATTGGCCCTTCCTTCCAAGTAGTAGTTTCATGGGTAGATTGGTGACCTCCTTTTCATTCCCCTCTGTGCCTCCAAACAACAGGGTTACTTCCTATCTCAGTACTTGCAGTTGTAAAGTAGGTGTAACAGTGACTTCCTATGCGCAAGTACCATCAGATCAATTGATTAAAAGTGATTGATAAGCATATACTTTATTAATGAGACATAATTTAATACATAGTAATTTAATTTTTCTTACACAGCAATCTCGTACATAAAATAAATTACTAGTGCTGGTGCAACAACAGTGCACTGAGAATTATGTGTCTTTCTGAATTTTTCTGTGTCTAGTTGAAGCAAATACAATTCCCTCACTGTTACTACATAAATTGAACAGTCTGGCAATAGTTCTTCCTTCTGTATATTAAGAAGAGTCTAGAATTATAAGAAATTGAGGTGTTTGAAAAATAGAAGAGGCTTTAGATAGTCTGGTTTTCCACCTCATAGATTTATATAAAAAAAAACCCACAAAAAAACCCCCAAAAAACAACAAACAAAAAAACAACAAACAAAAAACAATTGAATACCTTTTATTGTTATAAAAGATTACTGGTGTGAAAATTTCAGCGTGCTGTTGAACACTGAAAACCTTCCAGTTACCGATGTATTCTGTCATATATCCTGTCCTCAGAAACTGCTTCCATTTCCTGAAGTGCTGATTGAACGTTCTGGTACATAGATAGCAGCATGTTCCTACATACTTTTGCTTTATTGATGTTAGCCTGACATCCTGATTTCTGTAGAATGGTTTTCAAATTACAGAAAGCATATTGTAAAAAACAGCTGGCATAAATTGGAGGATGAGTTAGATGACCTAGTAAGTGTCCTTTATTATGTCAAACTTATGGCTTGGCTTCTTCATAATTCTTTGTTCATACCCTCTCTTTTCTCCTGCCCCCCCCCCAAAAACCCCCAAAACCAACCATAACCCCCAAAACACTAAAACAACAACAAAACAACAACATAAACCCAACAACAACAACAAAGGGAAAAAAGAAGGAAGAAGTGCACCTGATGAGGAAGACCGTGAGCCTGGGAACACTGAAAACCCTTTCCAGCCTATATCTGCTGTAATCTCTGAGGTATGAGAATATGTGGAAATCTGGATCATTTTAGACCTACCACTGACAAATGTCTGAGAGGTAATGAGAAAAATGGTTCATTCAAAAGAATTGTTCTAAGTCTGTCTGCACAGAATTACTTTATTTGTTTATTTTTTGTTTTAATCCTGGCAGTCTTGTTTTGTGTGCATTGAGTCAATGCTTTCATGTTAAGGAAATCTATTATTGATTTGGGGACAGAAGGTTTTGCAGACACAGGAAAATAAAAGTACTGCAAACAGATGATTGAACACATTTCTGAATTAAACTATTGGATATTCAGGAGTTGAAAACTAATCAAGGTCATTAGTTTCTTGTAAAATGTTTTAGTGATACACTGAGTCACATAAGATCTCCCTGACTACTTCAACTATTTAGATATTTGAGTATAACTTGTTTTCTATTGAAAACAAACAATTGACAAATTTTCTTGGCTTTGAAATATGAAAAATATATTAATATATAAATTTTCCTTAACCTGTGTTTCTGATTTCAGGCAGGTCTTATTTATTGTACCATTTTTTTTTTTTTATTCAGTTGACTTGAGATAACGTAATCTCAAGAAACATGTAAACTCTCAGAGATTTTTCTAGTAAATAATTCAAACATTTGCTTCTGTCCAGGACAAAAAAGCCCATATCCATGTATCCTGTAAAGTCAGTTACATGCACAATAATACACTCTATAATAACATACAGAGTAAGAAGAGAAGGGTATAGTTCTCAGCATTGCAGAGATAGTGATTTAGTGATAAAGAACCTGTGAAACAGCCTATCATTGAGTCTGTATGACACAATTGGTTTTTGACCAAATCATGGTAGCACTTTCTGGATACTTAAACTCTGTGCATATTTTTTGTTGTTGTTTTAACTAAAACATTAAAAAAAAAAGATAACTGATAAGGAAGAATATTAGTTTTCTAACCTTTTGCTCAGGACTGCTGATATTGTTTACATAGCTAGCTTTTTTTGGTTGTATAGCCAAAAAGAAAGCTAGAAAACAGGCTATAAACCTAAAGATAATTTCTTTTGCTGTTAATCCCCTTTTATTTTATTTTTTTCCTTTTTCTGGACAGAATATTGTAAATTTAATTTCTTTATCTATTTAAAAATACTTTCCAGGCTAGATGTGGGACAGAAAAATATTTTAGGAATATTTTCATTTTAAAAATAACCTTCCTGTCTTATTGGTCAATTTACAGCATTAGAAGTTGTTAAAAAAAAACCTTATACTTTTTGTTAGAATGAAAAACAAATTGAAAAGGAAAAGAAGCGGCAAAGGTTGGAGAATGAAAAGGCTACGATTGTCTTGAAATCACAAACAGAGCAAGAACAAATGAATGCCCAGCACTTACCAAGTAGTAGTAGCCAAAATGCAAATGATAGTAGACCAGAAACCTGCAATTCTACAACTACACAGCTTTTGCAGCATGAAGAAGAGTATGAGCAGCAAGCCTCAGAATGCCTTGACTCAGGTAAAGCTACTTCCTTTTAATGTGTCTTTTAATGCTGGTTTTCACATAGTTCTTCCTTCTGTCTATTATTTTTCATGATGCTACACATAAGTGTAATCTGTTGAAAACATAAAAATGCACCATTAGGTTATTGTATTGGAAAATCTGCGTCAAAAAAGTGCATGTTTTTTGGTGTGTGACTGCTGTTGTAGCTGAAACTAGGTTAATTTTCATCATAAGCAAATATGTGGCCCACTGTCCATCAGTACCAAGCTAAGTTGAATTTCTTTGTTAAAACATGGAGTTTGCATCTTATTTTATGCTTACAGTTTATTTTCTCTAGCAAAATGTTGTATAAATTTTACATTTCACATAAGTCTGTAAGTTTGGACTGAAAATGCTGATGCATCTCACCCCAACAATTGTATTAAAAAATGATCTAAGATAGTCTGTGAATGTAACTGTATGATATGTAACACTCTATTTCTGTTTGCTATAGATAACAGTAAGAAAAAAAATAAAAAACCAAAATTAAAAAGGGGCCACAGAGTAGAACCTGTTAATACAGAGGACACTGTTCCAAAAAATCCTACACCACCACCAGCTCTTCCACCAGGTAAGTTTACTAACAAACAATAATCGATGTCTCAATTTGTGGTTATTTAGCCTTTAAAATATTCATATGTGAATGATGAAACTGGAATGGTCTTCACACAGAGATATGCTACTGAACCTTACTCCCTAGGAAATCTTTGATGTATTTTCCCACTTCGTGGTATGAACTTTCAGCAGTATTGATTTGATCTGTTCTGTGGGGGAAGATGATGTTATTTTCACAAAACAGTCAGAAACTTGACTACTCACTGATGAAAAAGTGATTTAAAAATATCAATATTTTTCAGGGTATGTCAGTTTACTTTAAAGTATTTAATTGTTATTCACCCTGTATACAATATATTATGTACTTTTGGCATTTCTAAATGCTTTGATTTCTTCCAAAGAGAACTGGCTTCCATACATTCAATCAGAATCAAGTGCAGTCGTGGCGTGTTTTGACTGTCTTTGTTTTCCTTTAGTTGGCTGGGGAACTCCCAAACTTAATAGACTTCGAAAACTTGAGCCTCTTGGTGAAACACATCATGCTGGTAATTTAAAATATTTTGGGTTTTGTACTTTTTTTTTTTTTAAAGCATTCTCCATTGTTCCTTCACTTCTACATTAATTTCATTCTTCATCTTTTTTTATTTATTTCTTAATACCCATTTTCATTGACCAAAAAGCTAACCCTTTTGCTTAGTAGAAAGCATCTTTTTGATTTTTCAAGTCTTATTTCATTTTTTTTTTTAATCAAAAAGAGTAAGTTCTCTCAGATTCCCTAGTAAAGTTTACAGGGGCACAGCATATCAGAAGCTATTAATGATCTGAAGTTATTTGCACGGCAGCATGCACCTACATATTATAATGTGCCATGTAACAAAGATTAACAGGACCAGTTACTTTAAGGGTCCAAACACATATTGCATGCCAAATGAAAGTTTCAAAGTATATTTTCATTGTCCATATATAGACAGTTCATCGTTATCTGATGCAATGGAGACAGGAGCTGGGTTACCTGGATACTGGAAGAAGTTGGAGTTACTCATCAGAGAGGATACTGCAGAGATCAAGCAGAGCTTATTAATTTGGCATCCATAGTGGTTCTTCCACATCCAGGCTGGTTTGGCACGAAGGCATCTGTTTGTTTCCACGCTGATCTTAGGATCTGATCTGGAAGTGCTCATCCTTTCACTGCACTGAACCCAAATGGGCCTCATGTATTTCTGTAGTTGTGTGAACCTTAGCTCAGGTCCAGATGAATTGGAAAAGAGAAGGCTCCAGGGAGATCTTATAGCGGCCTTCCAATACCTGAAGGGGCTACAAGAAAGCTGGGGAAGGACTTTTCATAAGGGCAGTTAATGACAGAACAAGGGGAAATGGCTTTAAGCTGAAAGAGGGGAGGTTTAGATTAGATATTAGGAAGTTCTTCACTGTGAAGGTGGTCAGACACTGGAACAGGTTGCCCAGAGAAGCTGTGGTTGCCCCCTCCCTGGAAGTGTTTAAGGCCAAGCTGGATGAGGCTTTGAGCAACCTGGTCTAGTGGAAGGTGTCCCTGCTGATGGCAGGGGGGTTGGAACTAGATGATCTTTAAGGTCCCTTCCAATCCAAACCATTCTATGATTCTATGAATTTGCTGTGTGTAAGCTGACTCCTTGTGTCACTTCTTGAGATAGTCTAAAACTTCTTCTAGCCACTGCTACCATTTCCATGCAGTTTTAAAAGCATAGTCTGTAAGATTTTTGTTATTGTTTTGGGGGTGTTTTCTTGTGAGAAGGAAAGTTAAAGACATGTGGGCACCTCTGAATTAAGCGCATTATGTTAGCAACTCCAAAGGAAGGACTGCAATCCCAGCTATGATGGAAAGCCCAACGTGAATTTGATTGCAGAAGTAGTGAGGCTTCCAACTGAAAACTAGGTTACTGGTCTGCAAGGAGAGGTTTTGGTGATAAAGCTTGAGATCTGCTGCTTTACCTGAAGAGCCAGCGTTCCTTAAAGTTGACAAACTGACAGGAGAAATAAGCTTAACTGGAAATATCAAGGTGTGTGCTAGGCAGATTCTTGCTTTCTCTCTTCAATAATGACTATATTCTATTTTTGGAAGACGATGGGAGATTTTTTTTCATACACTCCTATCTTTTTCTCAGTTTTAGAAATTTCTTCATTTTTCTTTTATTTTTTCAAATTTTGAAAAGCCAAATGAATATGGAGACATCTGGAGTAATATGAGAGGAGGATAACCAAACTAAAGCAGTGGGAACACTTGTACACATTGAACAAAGGGAACATTAATTGAGGAACTTACAGAGAAAGGAGCTCAGTGTGTCTGTAGTGATCCTTGAGCTTAACCCTGACTTGAACTGATTGTACAACTGTCATGTAGTACAGCACCATGTGGACGTACCTGCTGAAGTTCTGAAGCAACAGAACACGGAGCTTCTCTGCCAAAGAAATAAAAGATGCCTAAAGGGGAATTAAGATCTCTAAAAACTAGATATTTATTTTTCACAGGAGTGTAATTCATGTGCATAAAATGTAATTTATAGTCTTAACCATAAAACCATCTTGCTCTTTTTTTTTTTTTAAAGGCATATAGAGAGAAGGCGGCAAGAAAGAAAAGCCAGATGAAGAGGTAGGGAGAGGAAGAAAGGGAAGGGGTGATCCTCAATTTTTATCTGTGCCTAAGGGAGGTGTTGCATTTTGTAGCAAGAGTATGGGTGGGACAAAGTAGAAAAAAGAAATGCTTAAGCTAGGTTCCCTGCTTACAGGTGTGTCAATTAGTAACCTGAGATCTGTGTTAATTTAGTCCATTTGTAAAATAAGGATAATAATTAAAGTATTTTGGAATCTAACTATGGACAAGATGTTGGTAAGGGAACTAAACTATCTCTTGACCAGAGGAAACTTGGAGTGCTCAGAACTTTGCAGCTGAATTCAAGACACTGCTTGCTCTTTGCTGTGGTTTGGGCTTTTTCCAGGAATTCTGAGACACTCACAAGATTCACACAGGTACAGAACTCAGACCATTTAAGAGCCATAGAATCATTTAGGTTGGAAAGAACCCTTAAGATCATTGAGTTCAACTGTTAAGCTAACACTACCAAGTCCATCTTGCACTTGCCATGTGTCCTTGCCCATTTTCTGACGCACAACAGTGTTTTTCAGTGAGTTTTCACATATTTTGCAGATGGGGAACCTGCTCCTGCTTGGAAACTCATTCATGATTTCCTAAAAACTGTTGAGCCTACCTTTTATCCATTTTTAGAAAGAATATTCACTGAATTGCATCTTCCTGAAAACCAACTTCTCTTTGGCTGTCCCTTCAGCAGAGAAATAAATCAATTTGGGGTTTGTTTGTGGTTTTTGTTTGTTTGTTTTTTCCCAGCTTTGTGCACAATTCACTGTAAAGGTGGTTTTAAAAGTTTTTCAGGCATTCAACCTTAGTGAAATAAAAAGGCCTGGTTGATTTCATGATTAATTGATAGAAATGTCTTGAAGGCACAATTTGCAGTGAAAGCTTAGAGTATTTTTTATCATTTCTTTTGGCTGGGACTTTAGTAAGGCTTTATTTTCCTTGAGGTTATTATTATTATTATTA